TTTTTGTAGGCAAACCGATTCAGTGCTCATAGTATCTTACCTGATTACTGTTCTGTGTCCTGGTGTCTGTTTGAACAACAATAACAAACTCAATTAAACACACATTACTTACATTATTAGAGTAATTGTTAAAAAAACAACCGATTCAGTGCTCATAGTATCTTACCTGATTACTGTTCTGTGTCCTGGTGTCTGTTTGAACAACAATAACAAACTCAATTAAACACACATTACTTACATTGTTAGAGTAATCGTTAAAAAAACAAAAATCCATCCTGTTATTTCAGCTGTATGTGTAATATAGCAATGAACAGTTCACAATGCATAAAAGGTTGTGAATTGTATAATATATATATATATATATATTATTTTTTTCAAATGATGAACACTAGAAAGTATCATACATAAAATGTATTGGAACCAATTACTTTAACCGAGGAGGACATTGATTATAATAACTACAAAGTACTTTAAGTGTGCACCTAACACTAGGAAAGTACAAGTATCAGATCCTGACAGATTGGGTATTAAATTACCCAAACTGGGACACAAAAATTATCGGTACATCCCTAGTATTGATGTAAATTGAATAATTTTTGGAACCGAGTTTTTGAAACGAACTGTCTGAAAGAACTAGTTCACAGAAAAAGAAAAAACTTCAGACTTCCCATCACTGTAATGTAATACTCACCTTTCCTTTTTACTCGACGCTTGTAAATATAAAACACACAAACAGATGCAGCCATAAGCAGGACAGCAGCAGCACATATTCCTGCTATTTCACCTGCAGACAGACCTGGAACTGAAAGAGTAAATAAGTCATTAATACTAGAGAGCAAATTATAATCCATTTTACAAAAGTATTTTTCAAGTATTTACACTTTTTTGCTTTAGTCATCAGCTGTATGATATTGCTTTAACTGACAAGTGGTGAGAGTTTTTGGAAAGTTTCTGTAAATTTTCCACCCCTTTGCAACCCTACTTGATACCTGAGTCAAAGCTCTTTTTCAAACACAATGAAACAATGAAGAAAAATTCTAGAATGAAAAAAAAAAACCGATAAAAAAAAAAAGTTCAACTATTTTAAGATTGCTCAAAGGAAAAAAACTAAATGATACACACCAGTGACATTAACACTGAAGCTCCTTATGATGCTGAATCTGCTGTTGATGATCTGTAGTTTATAGAGTCCAGAGTCTGTAGTTCTGGTGTTTGTGATGGTCAGAGATCCAGTCTGATTGTCCAGCTTCAGTCTGTCTCTGAATCTCTCATCACCATCTGTACAGATCATTCTGGGTTCTCCAGTGATTTCAGCGATGCAAATGTCATTAAAATACCACGTCATCAAATCATTTGGGTTTTTCATTACACCAGGATCTAAAGTAACAGATTCTCCCTCCTTCACTAACTTTGTCTTCATTTTATCTCGTTCTGCAGCAGGAACATCTGAAACACAATCCAACAGCTCTTTAAAAACCAGCATGCACCTCTGTTTTGTGCACATTTTATAAACGTTTTTACATCGAATCCTCATTCAAAAAATACCTTAAAAAAAATAGGAGAAAAAATTGTTTTAAATCAAACTGAATTGTATAAGTAAATGTATTAAATGACTCACCATGAACAGTAACACTGAATGTCTTTTCACTGCTGCTTCTGATGCTGATGATCTTTAATTCATAAAGCCCAGAGTCTGTGGTTCTGGTGTTTGTGATGGTCAGAGATCCAGTCTGATGATCCAGCTTCAGTCTGTCTCTGAATCTCTCAGTACCTTCATTACACTGAACATCTGTACAGATAAAGCTGAGATCTCCAGTGATTTGAGTGATGCGAATGTCATTAAAATACCATTTAATATCTTCTTGTTGGTTTGTTTTAACATCAGTGTGTAGAGTGACTGAATCTCCCTCCATCACAAATGCTGATACTCCGTCTGAACCAACACCAGAAAATCCTGAAGAGGAAATTAAGTTAATTATAAGCCAAACTAAAGTATACAACAGGAAAGTGATATGAAAATGTTTTTCCTGCAGGTTTTTAACGTCCTGTCCTCAACTGAACCTCTCCCAGGAAACGTTCCCGTTTTGCATTACGTTCAATACAACCCGCCTGACCAATATAGCCTGCTGACATTCCATGTAGTGATTATTTTTTGCAGCAGAGGACACTGTGAGCAACTTCTAAAAAAAAAAAAAAAAAAACCTACGAAAGCTGTGGTTAAACGCGATAAAACGAGCAAACTGGACAGAAACGATTGTCAAAAATGTTCGCGTTTGCAGCACACACTTTTCAGAAAAGGTTAAATAAAGCATTGTTTTTTTTGTTTTTATGGACTATGGTTAATGTTACGCATCTAAAGATTTCTTATGCATCTCACGACTGTCGTGTATGAAATAATGTCTGTGTGCATGTGTGTAAAACAACAAACTGACTATTTATATGCTTAATCATCTGTAATTGCATATACATTATTGTGATCGATTGTTGCTGGAATTTCTAAGAACTTGGTAAGAAAGAATAATCAGATACAGAAAGTTCAAAATTAGCAGTTTCTGAATTTTTTATTTCTAGAATATATTCACATCTTACTTTAAATTAATGTAAAGTTACTGAAATGTCACTATTTATATCGTTTACAGGAGATATACACTTTAAAATAACTATTTGGCAATTACATGATATCTTCATGACTAGATAGACACAGGTGAGTTTCTCTTTACTATGCACATTAGGTTTCTCTATAGATGTGAATCACTCAACCGGAGGTAATACTGTCAGATCATCCATCCATTGAGTGTGTACGGGTCGGCCAATCTGGTTTCGTCTGTTAAAGTTAACTTATTCAAATAACACTCACGGTCCTTGACAGTGAGTGACCTTACATATTAGGGCTTATCTTTTTTTTTTTAAATGATGGCGATTCGATAACAATTCTCAAAAGCCGCAAATCGATCTTTTCCGATATTTATTTTAGGAAACATTTAAAACAAGATCTGATTAATGTGAATCTTATTAGTCTTCTCCAGACGTCACCCTCTTATTTACCTTGCGCGATGTTACATCATGTTTATTCAGTGCTTATGGCGGAGATACTGACAAGAACAAAGCAATATGTGTGATTTGCAATGCTCAGGTGAAATGCTATAGTAATTCTACAAATCTGCTGAAGCATTTTGACATCACGCATAAGGCGCCATGATTTCTGTAATGAATGGCGGATGGCACAGCAGACGCACTGTTTTGTTTACTACACATACTAAAGCGCGGACGAAACTAGCAGTGTTTTCAGCCTCTGCCGTCTCACTATGACGATATGAACACACGAATATCATCTCCAGCTGCTCTGAGAGTCGCTTCATGAGCATTTTACCGTTTAATTTGAGAAAACTACCATCATATCACATACGCAGCAGCTGCAAGTTCTTCACGGCAACCTGTCAAAATAAAAGTTTAGTTTAACGTGAAGAAACTGTGACAGAAATATATTACTATTGTGCATTCTTAAGACTCAGTGTAACAACAATACTACTACTACTAATAATAAATATTTATAAAACTTGATTTTTTAAAGGAATAATCACATTTGTTTTATTTTTAATTTTAACAGCAAACTGTTGTGCAGCACTGTCTGCCAAAAAAATAAAAGGGTTTAATTTTCATTTGATTAGGATAAATTATATTAATGTTTTATGCCTTCATCTGCTTACCAGAAAAACATTTTATTGGGTCCTATTGTTGTTTTAAAAAAAAAGGACCTAAAAAAAAAAAAAGAATAGGTTTAAAATACAGGCCAGTGGCTCTTTATTTATTTTTATTAATTCACCATTTGTAAACTGATGTTTACTGTGCATTTTTTTTTAGAAATATCAATAGCATTTGTATTAAAATTATATTCACTGAATGTAATCAAAAAAATCAAGAATCGAATCAAGAATTTAATAGAATCAAATTGAGAGCTTGTGAAGCGGAATCTAATCAAATCGGGACATCTGAATCGATACCAAGCCCTATTACATATGCAGGTAAAATCGGATATTCTCCAGTCATTGTTAAAAAAATAAAATATAAAAAGCTAACAAACTTCATAGCTAGTGTTAGTGAAGCGGTCAGGGTAGTGATGTCCATCGCGAACGAGTCAGCTCTATGAGTCGGCTAAGATGGCTCTCAGCATTTTTCTTTTTTTACTTTCTTAATACCAGACAAAATAATAGGATGATTTTTGCCACATTGCTTGTTAGACATGCACACTTCATGTACTGACTTACGTTGCTACATGATGATTCTCACTCGCGATTGGTCGCACACACATCAACAGATTCAACGCTTGACATAATGTGACAATGTTTCAGGTTTAATAGATTTAACGATGCAACTTGGATGTTGGATGCTTCTGTCTTTTTTATTGGTTACATTTTGAGTATGATTTGTTTATAATAGTTTGTGTTTTGGATAGTTCTACCGAGTGAGATTACATACCGTGATACATCACATCTATTTATATGAGTAACGAATCCATACGACTGCGAGGAACAGACCCAAATCCAAGCCTTTTTCGGCGATCTTCTTCTCCATCCCAGCAGCAAAGCCCGCGCTTACTGACGCGCTCTTTACAAATTCAAATTTAATGTTGCCGCTTCAAACGCTTCCGGTAGCAGTGTTGTATGGGAGACATGGTTGCCAGGTTTTCACAACAAAACCCGCCCAATTGCTACTCAAAACTAAAATAAAAATCGTGTTACGGGTAGGTAAAATACAGATTTTTTGGAGGGGTTTTCCTGATAAAAATGTACATTCCAGGGGTTAAATATCAGGAGGTCGCTTCAACCCGAAAAACAACCAGCGCCGGCAACAGTGATGGGCGAGTTCATGATAACAAGGCCCTCTGATTGTTTTTGTTGTAGAATACGATAGGGGATATATTCACACGTTATAGAAACGAAAATGGTGTATAAAAGTGATTTTAAGATAAAAAAAAAATAGACGATAAAGAATTAACTTGACGGAGCTCAAACTCAAAACACACGGCAGCAACAAACAAGAAGTGATATATATATATATATTTGGATTTGGGTCTGTTCCTCGCAGTCGTATGGATTCGTTACTCATAAGAGCGCGCAGAAATGAATGAAACAGATCGCTCCATCTTTTCCAGGTTTTTTAAAAGTTACTGTTTAAATACACGGCGCATTAAAACCGCAAAGACAAACGCCTGTCAAGCTGTTTGTGACGAAAAGTACGTGTTTGTTTCAATATTTATTGAAAGACACAATAGCTAGTAGAACACGTGGAGATAGATTTTAAAATAAAATGTCTTACCATGTGCCAATAAAAAAAATAACACTGAGATCGGAGTTTCATGTTTACAAAGAAAATATAACAGATTCCGATTCATTTTCCCTTTTGCGCGTTTTACTGTCTGATAAAAAAGCGGGCATGGTGAGAGGGTCTTGCGTTTTGCGGGGCACAGACTAAATACTGGGTGTTTCAGGTCTGACGACATCACGCGGGCGTGGTTTAATCGCAAGGTCAAGGAGCATGCGCAGTTTACACGCTCCGTGTGAAGCCCGCGAACGTGTGACAGCGGCACGACCTGCGGAGATCTTGACTTTGTTTAATTTTCGCGCATTTCAAACAAGAATGATTATCACGTCTAACATTAAACAGTGGGGAAAGGAAAAAAAAACGAATGTGGCACATTGATAATTGGGAATATATTTAATATCACTGTTG